TCTCCCTCTGTCCCTCCCTCAGTCCCTCCCTCCCTCCCTCTCTCCCTCCCTCCCTCTCTCCCTCTCTCTCGCACTCCCTCCCTCCCTCAGTCTCTCCTTCTCTCCTGCAGTCCCTCCCTCTCTCCTGCACTCCCTCCCTCCCTCCTTCCCTCTCTCCCTCCTTCCTTATGCTGATGGGCTGTGTGTCCTGGCTTCATGGGATCAGGCATGTGACTAGTGGTGCCAGGCCCTGTGGTAAGGCCTGTGAGGGGAGGCCAGTCCCTGTCTGCGGGTGGCCTCTGAAAGGAGATGCCTCACTTTAGAGTGGGCCATGTGGCCACTGGGACCAGGGAGGTGACTGGTCCTGGGTGACCAGTGCTCCCCGGCCCCGCCTCATGGGCACATAGTTAGCTGGCCCTTCTGTTGGGGGAGCAGTTCCTGTGCACCTGACCCTGCCCTGGGGATGCACAGGTGCCGCCCTTCCTCCCGGGCTGATTTCTCTTGGCATCTTCTCAGGGGAGCAGTGAGGGCGTGTTTATGATCTGATACTAACTTCTCTCTGAGCCTGGACGACCCCTTCCCCCGGCCGCTTGGCTGTTGTCACCGTCAGCACGTAAGGCTGTCTCCTTCCTTGTTTTCCATCCTTGGGACAAGGAAGGCAGGCCCAGCCCCACTGGCTGGCGGAAGCAGCCACTGCCACTACGCTGCAGCGTGGAAGTAGCGGCCAGGGTTTAGGCAGTTTGTGAAAAGGCAACCAGGTTTCACAGTGCTTGTTTCAGAAAGCGCTGTTTCCTTCTCTGGGCAGGTGGTTGAGCGGGCCAGGGGACACTGGCCTGTGACTGAGGTTAGACCTGTGGGCAGGGCCAGAGCCTTTGCCTGGTGCTGTGACTCTTGCCAAGCAGGTGGTTGAGTGAGAATCAGGAGCATCCGAGAAACACACAGTGGGATGGAGGCTCTGCTGTATCCTGAGACACAGTGTCCTCTGCAGCAGTTCTCCCTCCTCCTCACAGCTCATTCTTTCCTGTCCCACTTGCAAAGGCCCTCGGCATGGCCCAGCTCGATGGGTGGGCTCTGGCTTCTGAAGTGCCCTTTGGCTTGGCTGCTGTCCCTGGAGCTGGGGAGTTGAGGAGAAGCGGCCCAGGGGACAGTCTGTCCAGGAGGTGGGGGGACCTGGTGCTTAACACCCGGTCCCAGCTGCTCATTGACTAGAAGCGTCTGAAGCAAACATGCCTCTCAGCAGTGACTGCTTTTGTTCCAAGGTGCTGTCCACCTATTCAGGCTGTCTCCCTGCTTACGTTAGCCTGATGTTCTGGGATAGCTGAGGGAGGCCGGGTGAGGGGGAGCGGCCTAGTCCCAGAGCCTGTGCCTCCAGGGGCCGCCCGGGCCTTGCATCAGGGAGGTGGTATCCATGGGGGCTGCGGAGGCAGGACTTGAATGCGGCACATTCTGTGACTCAGGCAGCAGAAACAGTTACTCTATACTTATTTATACATGCTTTTTACTTTATACTTTAAATTAAAACTTGTCATGCAATATAGACTTTCCCAAGCCTGCAAACAGTCTTGGAATAGGATATCTTCAATGGCTGTCCTACCTTACTTACTCCTCTGTAATTGGAGATTTAGGATGTTTCCAGACTGTATGGTGCTTTTGGAATCCTTGTGTGCAGAGCAGGGGGCCCGTGTTGGTGATTCCATGGCTGTACGTCTGGAAGGATGGACTGTGTTCCCGGCTTCACACCTAATGGCCAGCTGCTGTGTCACTGTTGAGGAAATCTTTGCCACATTGACAGGCAAAGAATGGCACTTTGGTTTAGTCCACATTTCTTTTTGGGAGGGCTTGTGGGTCAATGTTCCCATGTGCTGGGGGCCATGCTGGTTTTTCCTTTGTGAATCATGTGCTTGGTCCTTGCTTTATCTTGAGTTGGT